AATGGTGGCATAATATTTCTTACTTGAATAGGCTTTTTGCCAGAGAGACAGTTCAAAAGATTCAAGTAGCAGGGTGTTTGCAGACTTCCCTCCTCATGGATTTGTACTCAAAAGTTTAATGGATAACTTCTGCCATACATCACTTCTGCCATACATCACTTTTGCCACCAGAACTCCCTGAATGCATACAGAGACATTATTTTTTTCTTCAGATGAGAATGACACACCTCAGATTGTTAAATTAAACAAGGAGTACAACTAGCTATGAGACAGCTACATATCAAAGTTAACAACACAAATTTTTCTTCTGCTTTTCAGAGCAATGTTGACCCGCGAGATGATGTATTTGGTTATCCGCATCAGTATGAAGACAAACCAGCACTGAGTAAAACAGAAGATAGAAAAGAGTACAATATTGGAGTTCTGAGGCATCTCCAAGTAATATTTGGACATTTAGCAGCTTCCAGGCTACAATACTATGTACCAAGAGGGTTTTGGAAACAATTTAGGTAAATAGAAAATTTGGTGTTGATGCCTGTTCACCGGACTGCTGAAACGTGACAGAACTAGTTCTATTGTAGATAGGATAGTGTAGTTAAGTGTCAGTTAGCAGAGCTTGTACACCATTGTGTGTTATCCTACCGTTTCACCATTTTATAAAGTTTGTTGATAAAAAAAAGCTTACAGCAGTATGGTTATTTTGAATTCTAGAAGTTCTTGACCTTGATATTGAGACTTGGAATTTAATATGAAGTTATACATAAAAGCTCATTTTTACTTACCAGTAAATAAGTGTCAGGGGCAGAGTAGCAGGTAGTATACTACATGACAAACCGATAAATAATTTTGCTCAGTAAGAAAGAGGGATTGGTAGCTTGAATAATATTTTTTTTAGAAAACAAATTGTTGGAGAAAAAAACAAAAAATATTTGACAAAAATGTGTTCTTGTTTTCAGACTTTGGGGTGAACCTGTAAATCTACGTGAACAACATGATGCTTTAGAATTTTTTAATTCCTTGGTGGACAGTTTAGATGAAGCTTTAAAAGCTTTGGGCCATCCAGCAATGTTAAGTAAAGTTTTAGGAGGGTCCTTTGCTGATCAGAAGATTTGTCAAGGATGCCCACATCGGTAAGTATTTAAGATTCTTTTTTCTTACAGAAAAAGAACCTATGTTTGTATCCTTATAAGAGTCGAGTGGAGTTTTTTCTGTGGTATTGGCATGGTTTTTTAAAGTTAATAAAATTTTCTACCTTGTTTTTTTTACAGCCTTAATATTAATTTGTCCTTGATTATTATTCTGCTTAGCAGATTGTATATGAAGCATTGTCTATTGGTCAGGGGAGGAAAAGATACACCTTTTTCGTGTCAAAACCTAAAGCAGCTTGGTTACTAAATGCAATGTATAAAATTTTAAGACATTGCCAATAGCTGTTTCTGTCTTCTGTGGTGTGTGGATAGAGCTGACCTAAGTGTGAAACTTGAACTCCATTGAGTAAAACTCCATGCATACTTACTATGTAAACTGTACTTAAGGAGAATGCTGTAGAAAGTTTATCTTTTGCTGCTGTGTTTTTAATTAACTTAACACGTGAATATTAAAATTCGGCTTCATACAGGGTATGTGGGAAAAAACCCAAAACAACACCCACACCAAATCAGACTGAAAGTGTGTAGCCCACTACTTTAATGATGGCAATTGATGACAAATGCTTAGTGAAGGAATAGAGCAGTTGAACTTCTCTAGACTTTCTCCTGCCTACCTTTTGAAGTGGATGATTAAAATTGCCTGCAAGACTGAAGATGGCCTAGTGATGCACTTATACTTTTTCACCACGTGCTTTTTTTATTATTGAGTTAAGGCTTATCAGTAAAATAAAACCCTCTTCTTACTGTCCTCTACACTTTTCAGATCATGTGTCATTCTTAAATGATACAGATCTCTGCACATTACCATTGCAAATTCACTTTCTTGTGCAAGTTGACCGCTTAGTGTTATCCTTCAGTTAGCAATTACAATGTGGACAAAACCACTGGTACAAACTGATTTTTATTATGGTAATCTTTCAACTTCAGTTGAGCTGATGTATGAATTAGAAGAACTTATAAGTTGAGCATCTTAAGTTTTGTAAGTTAAAATGTGTGACCAGAAGTAAGTTGAAATATTGCAAGATAAAATGAAAGCACTTATTTTGTATGCAATATGTAATTAAATAGAAGATACAGATGTGAAGCATTGTGAGGTACCATTTATTCCTGATAATATGTACTATCATGAAGTATTACCGGTTTTTTTGGAACTCTACTGGATTTATATAATTGCACTTCTTAATTAAAATGTTACCCTGATTGCAGTTTAGGAAGGAGAAAACTGGTAATAAACTAAATTTAGGTATGACAAAACAGCCTTTCTAAATTTGTGATTTAACAGATGAATGAATATTATTTTTTTGGTTGAAGTATTTCTGAGTATTAATTTATTAATTGCTATAAACCCTTTTGGATGCTTGATTGCATATCAGAGAAACGAACCCTGCAGGGTTACATTGGAATATATGCAACTTTTTAATTTATTAATCGCTTTCTTATCTTTGAAAAAAAAAATTTGTTTCCAAGATGTCTTAACTGGTTGTCTCTCAAACAGAGCTGATTCAGTGCTAGGTATTTGTTTGAAGGTTATATCAGAGCACAGTAAGTCAAAGCCAGTCGTAAATATACAAAGTGATTTTATGAAGACAATTTTTTTCAGGTAGAAAAAAGGCCTTTTTTGTGTTGGGGTTTTTTTTTTTTGTAGTTAGAATCTGGTTTGAACTGTTGTCTTTAGGTACAGTACAATATTTGTGTTTATCAGTCTAATTCCTGACTGTAAAGGTCCACAATGGAAAAAATACTCTGCTTTGCTATTTGGACTTCTTTACCAGCTTAAGTTAGGCAAGAGTCTGTCATGGTACTGTAGCTGCTTTAAAAACAAGATAGTTTAAAAGATTCAACTTCTGCAATCTTTTCAGTGAACTTGAGACGTTACAGGTCATTTCTATAGTTAGTGCAGATCAAAAAATACAACATGCAGTAGTGTAATGTAGGAAGACTGCAATAAAAAATAGGTCTGGTCTTTCTTTTTTTTTAATGTGTAACTCCTTTTGCCGGAAGTTGACATGAGATGCTGAATAAAACTTTAGCAGCAAGGTGCTGTGTAGCACCTGTAAAATGTAAAAGTGAAACAGGTTTCTGCCTTTCTCTTACATCTGTCTGTTCGTCGATAGGTACGAATGCGAGGAATCCTTCACAACTCTGAATGTAGATATAAGAAATCACCAAAACCTTCTTGATTCATTGGAACAGTATGTCAAAGGAGATCTGTTGGAAGGTGCAAATGCTTATCATTGTGAAAAATGCAACAAAAAGGTAATAGTTCATTCTATATAAAGTCTGTGTATAACTGTGCTGTTACAGCTGTAATAATTCTTAATTCATGTTCAGGGAAAAAGGTTATCCTTTAATTACTGAATTAGGTTGTTGGAAGAAGTGTATGAATGGAAACTTAAGAGCTGATAACTGTTCATGTCTTTTTTTAGGTGGATACAGTGAAACGCTTGTTGATTAAGAAGTTGCCTCCAGTTCTCGCAATCCAGTTGAAGCGATTTGATTATGACTGGGAGAGGGAATGTGCAATCAAGTTCAATGATTATTTTGAATTTCCACGAGAACTGGACATGGAGCCTTACACGGTGGCAGGTGTAGCTAAATTAGAAGGCGATGACGTAAATCCTGAAAACCAGATAATACAGAATGAGCAGTCTGAAAATGAACACTCTGGGAGCACAAAATACAGGCTTGTTGGTGTACTTGTACACAGTGGCCAGGCCAGTGGGGGACATTATTACTCTTACATTATCCAGAGGAATGGTGGAGATGGCGAGAAGAACCGGTGGTATAAATTTGATGATGGAGATGTGACTGAGTGTAAAATGGATGATGATGAAGAAATGAAAAATCAGTGCTTTGGTGGAGAATACATGGGTGAGGTATTTGATCACATGATGAAGCGTATGTCCTACAGACGCCAGAAGAGGTGGTGGAATGCTTATATTCTTTTTTATGAACGTATGGACACAATAGACAAAGACAATGAACTGATAAAATATATTTCAGAACTCGCTATCACCACTAAACCCCATCAGATTAAAATGCCATCGGCCATTGAACGAAGCGTACGGAAGCAGAACGTGCAGTTCATGCATAATCGTATGCAGTACAGCCTAGAATATTTCCAGTTCATTAAGAAGTTGCTTACTTGTAACAGCGGCTACTTAAATCCTCCTCCAGGTTAGTATGTGAGTCTAGTAATTATGGATTAATTTCTTGAAAGAAGAGTTTTGGTTTGTTTTGTCCAGCCAGTGAAGATGTTGTGCATTCTGCTTTGAATACTCTGTCTTTCTGGACTTTCTGTAGTTAAACTTATGTTGTTGAGTTATTTATCAGTGATAACATGCCAGAATATTTAGCAAAAAATACTTTGATAAATTATCAACTATTACTTGTCTTATGTACTAAACCGTGTTAAAATATTTTAACATTGTGGGCTGTTCTGCTGAAGACAATTCTCAAAGATGAGATGCCAAATTTCTGAAAATTAGCCATATGATAGCCTCCAGGTACCTGTCTTAAAGCTTATATTTTCACATGATATGTTATAGAATCCAGAGGCTGTTTTGGTCAAGTTTGTTGTTAAAATTGGAATAGGGTGGCAGGCAAAATAGTAAACTGGAGTCAGTTGAATTATTAAAAGTAAATTGCTTTTACTTTGTTTACATGTGAATATTTTGATTTTTCTTCAGGACAAGATCATCTGATGCCTGAAGCAGAAGAAATAACTATGATTAGTATTCAGCTTGCTGCTAGATTTCTCTTCACCACGGGTTTTCATACAAAGAAAATAGTCCGCGGCCCTGCTAGTGATTGGTATCTTGTCTTTTACAACATTTACAATCTTGGAAGTTTGATGTCTGTTAAAAGATCACAGTTATATATATATGACAATAAAAGATGTTAGTAGTTGTCCCATTTTCCCCTCTCTACCAAATTATGTGGTCGAGGTGCACATGAAAAGGGGGGGAAGATTTGAACAGAAAATACTGAGAAGAAACCGAGCCTTAAATAGGCTGCTGAGTTGAACAGCTTGAAAATTCATTTTCAAACTGAAGTTAAATCTACCTTTTGTCTATCTTCTAAAAAGAATGAAGTAGTAGGATCTATAGCTACCATAAAGCTAATAGGTTTTGTATTCTGACTGAATCGTTTGTTCATGGTTTGAGTGCTGTTAAACAAAGCTCTTTCCAACTTACTTTTGCAGCTTTTATTTGTATTCCATTTCTGAAACATGTATGTAGTCTTTTAAACTCTGTTAGCAGAGTGCTTTTATGTACATTGCTACGGAGTCTGGAATTCAAATCTGTAGCGTAACAGACAGTACAGTCTTAATCGTAGCACCACTTATCTTCAGGTTTTTTTCTCTTGGGGAGAAGCCTGTGAGTTACTTACTGCTGGTAGAACTAGGGAAAAAAACTAGCATTTGGGACGTCCAGTGGTACACCAGCTACTACTAGGTAATACTAGTGTGTAATACATGGAAAGTATGTATGTCAAGTTTCTGTCCAATAGCAACTTTCAGAGTAGCTGACTTACTCTTGTTATTTTAACAGTTCAAGATGAGTTCAAATACTGCTGCAAGAAGGAGAGTCACACGTGACCCTCTTGGAACAGATATTTTAGTCTTTGGGTGTTCTGTGGTGTGGTTTGGTTTTTCTAGATCTGTAAATGAGGATATGAATTCTTGATAGGTTACATATTTAGTTACTTGTTTTATACACGGCTCGTGAAATCTACCTCACGTGTTCTCCTGTTGCTCACTCTCTCCCAGTTCCCATACTGAGGGAATACTGACCGCCCAGTTTAGGACCTGATTTGAGCAGTGGTTTGGGAATTAGGGGATGTAATCCTGTGTTGGTTCTTGTGGGTGATAGAAGTAAAGCACTACAGTTAAATGTCAGATTTCTTTTATTTAACTATCTTTAATTTGTGATAGCTAGTAATAGAGGATATCACTATAGGAACTAAAATTTATTTGTAATAATTTAGTGAGTAAAGATGTTTTAGGATCATCTTTAATGTGTATTATCTTTAAATTCTGCAAAAGAATACATCTACCAAAATTCATTAGTGTCTGCACTTAGTCTTGTCTTCTTTTTCAGGTATGATGCATTATGCATCCTTCTTCGTCACAGCAAGAATGTACGCTTTTGGTTTGCACACAACGTCCTTTTTAATGTTTCAAACCGCTTCTCCGAGTATCTCTTGGAATGCCCTAGTGCAGAAGTGAGGGGTGCATTTGCAAAACTTATAGTATTTATTGCACATTTTTCATTGCAAGACGGACCATGTCCTTCACCTTTTGCCTCTCCTGGACCTTCCAGTCAGGTATTTAATTTTCTAACAAAAAACTTACAAAACTTATTCCTACTTCTTCATTATAAGCATTTAATGTACAGTAAATTCTGGAGTAAGTGTGTCAGTGACAGAAAAGCCGTATGGGCCATACTGCACTACTTAGCGCGATGTAACTTGGTTTGTGTGAGAGTTGCTGTCAGAGGGGTTCAGTTTCCTTCCCCTGTGTGAAGACTAAGTAGTGAGAACTTTGAGTTGAGTTGTGAGTGTGAAATCTGCAAAATAGAAGTAGTGACTTACAATAAAATAACGTGTAGGGGAGTGAACTCTGGTTTTTCATTCAGAATAAAAACATAAAGAGAAAAAAACCTAAACAATACCCATGAAAATGTGCAGTTCTCTTAAGTTTTCTTCCACTATGTTCTGCAACATTGAAATTGTCCAAAATTGTAACTCTGCGTAACAGTAGACAGTGAATTGCTTCATTTTTACCCACCTAGATTAACAAAAGTGCCAAACTAACAAACGTGCCAAAATCTTAATGTGATACATAACATTGTTTTTGTTTGAACTGTATTAAAATTTAAAATACCGGCCTTTTCAGGCCTCTGCTTTATCTTGCTTTTAATGTCTGCAGTAAGACATTTTTTATTCCTATTGTTCTACGAACCTTCCCAGAATGTTTCCACTACTGTATCAAGCAAAAGAATATATACCAAGTTAAAGCTACCTATGCTTAGACAGATTTTATTTCATGAGGTATTTGAAATACACCTGTTGAGGTGATTTGGGTGTCTTTATTAGTCTGTGAAGTTCACAGAGGAATGGTATGTGGTTTTTTTGAGTATTTAAGCGTAGCTGCTGTTGGGAAAAAAGCTGAGTTAAAAGCTTCTGTACATGAATAATTGAATAATTTATTGGACTCAAATGGTATTTACCTGCAGGAGTCTTATTCTCTGTACACCTGTCTTACTTTATGTGAGATACAGGAGACAAAACCAGCTGCTAGTATGAATCCCATACTTTTTAAACATTTCTGTTTTCTGCCATACTAGAAAGCATATACTAATTACAGATTTGATAGATTCAACCACTAATAATAATTATTTTTTTTTGTAGACTTACGATAACTTAAGTTTAAGCGATCACTTACTGAGAGCGGTACTAAATCTTCTAAGAAGGGAAGTATCTGAACATGGGCGCCATTTGCAGCAGTATTTCAATCTGTTTGTAATGTATGCCAATCTAGGTAAGCAAAGTACACGTTGCTTTTACTAGTGACACTGAATTAAACTGTTTTTTATTAATGATCTGGTTACACAAGTAACAGCAGGAGAATCCAGTTTTTCTACCTCGGGCAGATTGATATCGTTAAACAGTGTATAAATGCTCTCTGGAGCATCCGTGTTTCTCCATTCTGGAGTTTGGGTGGGAAGATTAACACAAGAAGCTTGGAGCAGTAAGACTGTCCTTCTGAGAGGACACAAGGGTGAAAATATGGCAGAAGAAATAATGGTCAGGGCTCATTTCCAGGGAGTTCATGAGACTCCATAAGCATGTGGTGCATAAGCTGGTTTAAAGTTGAAGCTGAGGAAGGTAAAACTTCAAAAAGAGCGATGCGTGATCCTCCTTTATGCAAAGCGCAATACAGATGGTCATGTTTTATCTATATATTCCAACTGTGCCCTTTCAATACTAATTTCTTTAGTTCACCTTTGAAGTTCACAGCTATGAACGCAAAACGCTGCGTCTGTATCTGTCTTCCATTTAAAGACGCGAGGCTGAGGAAATAGCTTGATCTGTGTATGTTCTTAGACATCAGTGCTTGCCAGAATGCTTTCACTATAGACATTTTATGAGGTAAAAGAATGCAAGAATCGGGACATTCCACTATATATTTATCGAATAATGTATTCCCTTCGAGATAAACAGGCAAGAAAAAACACTGGTTTTGCAATAGAGGAAGGCTTAAGTAAAATTCTTCGAGGCTTAAGACAGTAATTGTTTCTGTAGAGTCTAGAGTCCTAAATTTTCTGATGAAAGATTAAGTTAGAGATTGAGTTTGGCAAATGAAGATTTATATTTAGCATTTAACTGAGATGAGACCGTTACTGGCTTTGTGATGATGGACATGAAATATTGGCTGTGGCACTTCCAGGATCACCAGTTTTTCTAATTGTATCCAGCATTATTAAAATAGAAATAAGTATGGATTTAGACATATACAAAAACTTGTATTAAATTTTGGATTATGTAGGTTCTTTGCATAGAAAGTTACTAGCCTGTGTATTAAGATTAGAATAAAATAATGCTAATAGTATCTGAACAAACAAAAACAATTTTTGCAATTAAATTGAGATCAGTCCTATTCACATTTAAATGAACAGCTGCAATCTTACTTTCTCTTAGTATTACCAGCAGGCTGAAAATCAGTTGGTGATTGATTGAATAAACGGTTCCTCAGGTGGGTTAATCCATTGCTGTTTTATATATTTGCCCTGAGGAAGAGCAATTAAGAGTAATAAAATGAGTCAGATAAGTGCCTGAGGACTGGAGGAAAGCCAGTGTCAATCTAATCTTCAAAAAGAGCAAGAGGAAGGACCCGGGTAACGACAGGCCAATTGGCCTTGCCTCCGTCTCTGAAGAGATGATGGAACAGATTGTTCTTGGTGCCATCTTGAAACATGTTGAGGAGTAGTCAGCATGGATTCACCAAGGGGCAGTTGTGCTTAACCAAACCAAGAGCCTTTTGCGGTGACATGACTGGATGGAGAGATGAGGGGAGGGCAGTGGATGTTGTCTACTTTGACTTCACCAGGGATTTCGATATTATCTTTCACGGCATCCTCACAGCCAAGCCTAAGAACTGTGGCTTGGATGACTGGGCAGTGAGGTGGATCAGGAACTGGCTGAAGGACAGGGCTCAGAGAGTTGTGGTCAGTGGGGCAGAGTCTAGCTGGAGGCCTGTGGCTAGTGGAGTCCCCCAGGGGTTGGTACTGGGTCCAGTCCTACTCAATATACTCATCAATGACCTGGACGAAGGGACAGGGTGTACACACAGCAGGTTTGCTGATGACACAAAACTGGGAGGGGTGGCTGACACACCAGGAGGCTGTGCTGCCATCCAGTGTGACCTGGAGAGCTGGGCAGAGAGAAACCTAATGAAATTCAACAAGGGCAAGTGTAGGGTGCTGCACCTGGGGAAGAGCAACTCTGTGTATTGGTACAGGTTGGGGGCTGACCTGTTAGAGAGTAGCTGCAGGAAAAAGGACCTGGCAGTCCTGGTGGAACAACAGGATATCATGACCCAGCAATGTGTGCTTGTGGCCAAGAAGGCCCAGGGCATCCTGGGGTGCATCAAGAAGAGTGTGGCCAGCAGGCTGAGAGGTTATCCTGCCCCTCTACTCTGCCCTGGTGAGGCCACATCTGGAGTACTGTGTCCAGTTCTGGGCTCCCCAGTTCAAGGGTGAGGAACTACTGGAAAGAGTCCAGTTCAGGGCTACTAAGATGATTGGGAGACTGGAGCATCTACTGTGTGAGGAAAGGCTGAGAGAGCTGGGTCTGTTTAGCCTGGAGGAGGCCGAGAGGGGATCTTGTCGCTGCTTGTAAATATCTAAGGGCTGGGTGTCAGGAGGCTGGGGCCAGACTCTTCTCAGTGGTGTCCAGTAAAAGGACATAGAGTAACGGTTGTAAACTGGAAAACAGGAGATTCAGCCTGAACAGAAGGAAGTACTTCTAGATTGTGAGCGTGACAGAGCACTGGAAGAGGCTGCCCAGAGAAGTGGTGGTGTCTCCGTCTCTGGGGACTTCCAAAACCTGCCTGGATGCATTCCTCTGTGACCTATGCTGGGTGATCCTGCTCTGGTCCCTTCCAGCTCTCAACATTCCCTGAGTGAAGGATTGCTTTTGCACTTACTTTCCCTGGTTATTGGGGCCTTCTACTGGGGAGGGAGGGGCCATTTCTCTCCACACACAGTAGCCTAAGCAATGCATCTTTCTCTTCAGCAAGTTGTAAACGAAATACGATATTCTTCCATAGTATTACACTCTCCCTTTCACTCTAATACAAGATATTTTCATCCTTTTTCTGTAACGCACTAGGAAGCTAGGAGATCCAGTTGCCTTGGAAGTTTTACAAAGTGCCCGTAATACTGAGCAGCTCAGCAGTTGCTGGGTATCAGCTCATGCAGGCAAGATACAAACTTGAGTTTGTTAGATGGCTTTGTGGCTCAAGTGTTAAGTGAATATGTCAGTCCAAATGAAGGTATTTTGGTACTTCCACATAGAATTGACACAAACACGCAAGGTTCTGGAAGCTCTTTTGTGTGTATAGACAGTTTTAAAGGAATTTAATTTTCTGTCTATAAAATCAATCTAGACATTTGAGTTAATGTAATTTCACTTATAGTGTATGTTGTTTTCGTATACTGTTGTTTACCAGAGCATTCTGTGTCAGGCAGGATTCTGTCATAATCCCCAGAGTGGACTTAATGTCATTGCAGAGAAGAGAGATTCAGTTCTTCATTATCACAGTCTACCCTGCAGAGATAAGCATGGAAATATTAAGCAGTTGTGCTTGTCTTACTACTGTTAACTGAAGATTTCTGTGCACACATAGAGTGTTCATTCAGCAAAAGCCACAATATATCATCCCTGCAGTACCTCAAGTTCTGTGAAAAGGATTAAGCTGTCTGACATTTTGAGAAATCAAGTAATATGTTGTTCCTATCAAAGAAGCGAGAGATCAGTTCCACAAAGAATGTAACTGCAAAACTAGCTACATAGTTAAAAAAGGTATTATAAAGGAGTTCTAATAAGGTGCTTTCAGCTGTGCATCTTTACTGACTTGATTATTTTTTCCTCAGAAAATAAATTATGGTTATAATAAAACCCAGCAACTGGAAACTTATAAATAATGTAAACAATATTTACTTTTTTTTAAAAAAAAAAAATATTGTTAGTGCCAGAAACAAGATTTATTTATTTTTTTTCCCTCCCCATAAAGGTGTAGCAGAGAAGACACAACTTCTGAAATTAAATGTTCCTGCAACCTTCATGCTTGTGGCTCTGGATGAAGGTCCGGGTCCTCCAATTAAATACCAGTATGCTGAACTGGGGAAGCTGTACACTGTTGTATCACAACTGATCCGTTGTTGCAATGTGTCATCGCGGATGCAGTCTTCTATCAATGGTATAGTGAATTTTAAGTTTTCCTTAGATTAATTGAACACACCAGTAAATGTCTTTTGTGCATGTTTAGCTAGTTTGTGTAAAATGGATTATCTGAGAAAATGCTTTTTATATTTAGCAACTCTTTTTGTTTAAAAACAGAAATCTCTTTGCTATAAAAAAAATTAATTTACTGTACTAAAAAACACAAGACAGAAGTCTGTTCCATGTTTTATGCTCCTTGGCTTATTCCTTAAAGATATAGAGAAAAAAAAGAATAGTAAAATAGTAATTTGTTGATTGCAGGATAGTAACACTTTTTGCACAGTTTAAGCTCATTTTAAAGAGTTGCATAAATATCTTTTGGTTCTGATTAGGCAATCAAATAATGGATTACTTTCATGTTACCAGTACAATAGTAGTCTGTACAGGAAAAACACTATTGTGGGTTCTGAAATGGCTAATACTGCTTCTCAGGAAAGAGATCTTGCATTGGTCTGGATAGCTCTTGAAAATGGTTTGGTGCTTGCTCACAGGCAAGATGAGAAACAGAAGCAAGCACTTCAATTCATAAAAGATAGAGAATCAGCTAGAAATTGTATAAACCGTAGTATAAATCATCAATATCTCCACTAGTTGAACAGAGTGCAGTTATTTTTGAGAAATGATGACAGAATATTGGGCTACATGGACTTTATAGCCTGTATATGTACACATTCTATTAAGCATATTTTAGAAAATCTAATTAGGATTTTGTAGAGAAGCTGTTTAATGGCAAACTCATTACAGCTTGATGTGTCAGGCTATAAAGTCAATAGGCTAGAATGTGCTATAGTAAGATTAATGAACTGAAAATTTTACTGTGCTATAATAAGCTTCAGAACCATTTGGCAATTTGGATTGGGTTTTGTTTCCAATGCGTTATTTGAGGCTTGCACTGCAAAGATATTCTACCTATGAAAAATAATTGTATGGTCACTGTATTCATAATGTTGTACTAAAAAAATTACTTGGTATGAGCATTAGTCTAACTACTAATTATGATTATTGTTTGCAGAGTTAAGTTATTTTTTACTTCACCATATTAAGCTAGAGAAGTTCTACTTTGGACTTCTGGGCATCTTCAAGCAGTAACTCAAAACACTGCTAAATTTAGAAACATTGGGAGCAAATCAGCAGTCTCTCCTTACACAAAATTAGGCTTACTAAATATGATAGATTAATTTTTATTCTTTCAGGAGTGCAGTACTTCTCTCTATAATCTAGATTCAAACAGGGCTGTTCTGGCATAGCTATTCCTCTGAAGTCTTTCCCGTTGACTACTGACGTAAATAAATAGACCTGGTGTCCTAAAATATTTCAGCTGTGTTGCACGAGCAGTGAAGCAGATAAATTCAGGAAATAGGAGGATTTAACTGGGGAAACTTTGGGTAAAAATTTCTCTCACTGCATAAACATGTCTCCAGCTGTTGTATTGGATGTCACTGCACATTCTTACCTGAGAGGGCAGAGTAATTCTCTCAGGCAGCAGCTGTAAAGCTTCACATTCAGAAAACTTAGTTACTTCGTACCATAATGGTTTTCAAAGAAAATCAACTGTTAAGGAGGGGTTGGGGTTTTTTCCTCCATCTGTTTTTTGATGAGTTACACCAATCTGTATTTTTTGTGTATACGCTGAAAGTACTTCGGTGCCTTTTCACCTGTTAATAACTGTTTTTTCTAGGTAATCCCCCACTTGCAAACCCTTACGGTGATCCTAATTTATCTCAGCCTATAATGGCGCTTCAGCAGAACGTAGCAGACATTCTGTTTGTGAGAACTAGTTACGTGAAGAAAATTATTGAAGATTGCAGCAACTCTGAAGAGACCATCAAATTGCTTCGTTTCTGCTGTTGGGAGAATCCTCAGTTCTCTTCCACTGTCCTCAGTGAACTTCTTTGGCAGGTAAAAATAAAAAGCTAGTAGAAGGATGGGAATATAGATGTGGATGATGCAAGATGCTACATATATAGGAATGTTGTATCAAATACTGAACGGGTGCTTGATAAATAAACTTCCCTTAAGGTGGCATCCGCTGTCAGCATTTGTGCTCTTGGGTCTCTGTGTCATGTTGGAGTCAGCTGGGAGAAGTCCTTGTGCAAGTTTAGGAAAGCAATCAACTTGTTATGAGTTAGGAACACTATGTTAAGGCTGGAAAGTCAGTAGACTGAGGTGGTCTTTATATATTTCAAGAGCATTTCCTAAAGCTTTTCTGTCATTATCCATGAGCTTTCTATATTGCATGGAAAGTAGAGTCATTTTTAAGATCTCCCTTGTGTTTATTTTGAGTATGTTTGTTAGGTTCTGTTTTAAGAATCTTCAGAAGATATTTGGCTTCAGCCTTGGGAATGAATCTTTGGGACTCTCTTGTTTTTAACTTTGTAATCTCTGTCAGTTGGTCACACTTTTCCACTCCAATTTTTTTTTACTTCTGTTAGCTCATCTTTATATTCACCTTTCCCCCC